AGCATATACACCAACCTTCTCCAAGAGACTTTCAGTTCTGAAGAAGGGTCACTGGACTCAAAATGTCAACTGTTTTCCCTCGACATTGCTGCCAAACATGCTGAGTTTCTCTAGAAATTGCCAGGTTTATTTTAGGCATTATGATTTTGTGCCTTTCTCCTGTCTTTTCCCATTCCGCTGCCACACACTGTATTTTAAGAACTTTCCAGTGCCTTCTTTCAACAGAAAGACACAAAAAGAGCTATAAAGAAAAGTAAGATAGAACATGAGAAAAAACTAGCACAGAATATAAAGACAGATAGCAAAAGTTTCTATAAATATATAAAACGAAGAAGAGTGGCTAAAGTAAACGTTGGCCCTTTACAGGATGAGAAGGGGAATTTAGTTATGGGATATGATGAAATGGCCGAGGCATTGAACAGGTATTTTGTATCAGTCTTCACAGTGGAGGACACTAATAACATGCCAGTAATTGACAAAGAGACGAAGGTAGGTGAGGACCTGGAAACAATCATTATTATGGAAGAGGTTGTGTTGGGCAAGTTAATGGAGCTAAGGATCGATAAGTCTCCTGGCCCTGATGGAATGCATCCCAGGGTACTAAAAGAGATGGCGGGAGAAATAGCAGGTGCACTGGCGGTAATTTTCCAAAATTCGCTGGACTCTGGGGCAGTCCCAGCAGATTGGAAAACAGCAAATGTGACGCCACTGTTTAAAAAGGGAAGTAGACAAAAGATGGGGAATTATAGACCGCTTAGCTTAACCTCTGTAGTGGGGAAGATGCTTCAGTCTATTATCAAGGAAGAAATAGCAAGGCATCCTGATAGAAATTGTCCCGTTGGGCAGATGCAGAATGGGTTCATGAAGAGCAGGTCATGCTTGACAAATCTTTTGGAATTCTATGAAGACATTACGAGCGAGGTGGACAATGGGGACCCAGTGGATGTGGTGTACCTAGATTTCCAAAAGGCCTTCGACAAGGTGCCGCACAAGAGGCTACTGCATAAGATAAGGATGCATGGCGTTAAGGGTAAAGTATTAGCATGGATAGAGGATTGGTTGACTAACAGGAAGTAAAGAGTGGGGATAAACGAGTGCTATTCTAGCTGGCAGTCAGGGACTAGTGGTGTGCCTCAGGGATCGGTGTTGGGACCGCAATTATTTACAATTTATATAGATGATTTGGAGTTGGGGACCACGTGTAGGGTGTCAATGTTTGCAGATGACACTAAGATGAGTGGCAGAGCAAAGTGTGCAGAGGACTGTGAAACTTTGCAGAGGAACATAGATACATTGAGTGAGTGGGCAAAGGTCTGGCAGATGGAATACAATGTAAATAAATGTGAAGTCACACATTTTGGTAGGAGTAATAGTAAAAAGGATTATTACTTGAATGGTAACAAGTTGCAGCATGCTGCTATGCAAAGGGACCTGGGTGTCCTTGTGCATGAATCACAGAAGATAGGTCTGCAGGTACAACAAGTAATTAGGAAGGCAAATGGAATTTTGTCCTTCATTGCTAAAGGGATTGAGATTAAAAGCAGAGAGGTTATGTTGCAGCTGTACAAGGTGCTGGTGAGGCCACACCTGGAGTACTGTGTGCAGTTTGGGTCTCCTTACTTGAGAAAGGATGTACTGGCACTGGAGGGGGTGCACAGGAGGTTCACTAGGTTGATTCCGGAGTTGAGGGGGTTGGTTTATGAGGAGAGACTGAGTAGATTGGGATTATATTCATTGGAATTCAGAAGATTGAGGGGGATCTTATAGAAACATATAAAATTATGAAGGGAATAGATAAGATAGAAGTAGAGAGGATGTTACCACCAGCAGGTGAAGCTAGGACAAGAGGGCACAGCCTCAAGATTAGAGGGAGCAGATTTAGGACTGAATTGAGAAGGAACTTCTTCATCCAGAGGGTTGTTAATTGATGGAATTCCTTGCCCAGTGAAGTAGTTGACGCTACTTCAGTAAACATTTTTAAAGATAAGGTAGATTTTTTTTTGAACAATAAAGGAATTAAGGGATATGGTGGGAACGCGGGTAAGTGGATCTGAGACCACGAAAAGATCAGCCATGATCTTAGTGAATGGCGGAGCAGGCTCGAAGGCCGGATGGCCTACTCCTGCTCCTAGTTCTTATGTTCTTATGTTCTTGAATACTCCGTTGAATCCAACCCCACTAGACAGTGTATTTCAAACATAAACTGTTGATTGTGGGAAAAATTTCTCCCCACATCACATTTGTTACTTTTGCAAAACACTTCTTTAAATCTATGCCCTCTCATCCTCGATCCTTTTATGAGTGGGAACAGTTTCTGTTTATTTTATCTGGACTGGTCATGATTTTGAAAGCTTCAAAGAGATCCCTGCTTGGTTTTCTTCGCTGCTGTGTAAGGGACCATCTTTTGGACTATAAACTGAAGAAGTTGGACTGCTATATAACTGAAATACAGGGAGAATTTTACTACTTGGAAAAGTCAAGTGGTGCACATTTTTAGCTGTGGAAGATAATGTTATTTTTCGAAGCAGTGAAACTGGATGGCACCAAGAATCTTTTCTGTCAGGGAGATACTGCCAAACAAAAGCCTTCATATCAGCTGAACTGTAGTTTATTACAAAGCCATTGCTGCAGGACAGCCAGAGATACCCCGAATCTGCAAACTGAAAACATCCCACTGCTCTTCCTCTCTTCATGGGGGTGAAAAGGCGAGAAAATCAAGGAAGCTTAAAAGAAAGGATTCTAACAAAAACAGACCTAAATACTCTGGATCCATGCTAGAAGAAGAAAGTGACCATCACTTTACAGACAACAGCGTTAAAGCGTAAAAGCAGTTATGTGAGACAATTTAACCCACTCTTTGATTTTCAGAATTTTGATCCAAATGTACAGGATTGTTTCATTTGTAATATACCTACCTGTCCTTTGGCTATTTTAATTGTGAATGTTTTCAAGGCAAAGATGGTCTTTTGACCAGTAGAGGAATTAAGGCTTATGGTGAGGTGGGGGGTTGTGGGGTTGGTGGTAAGTGGAGCTGAGTCCACGAAAAGTTCAGCCATGATCTTATGGAATGGGAGAGCAGGCTTGACGGACCAGATGGTCTATTCCTGCTCCTATTTCTCGTGTTCTCGAGAATGAGTGTGTGATTATTGTTTTTAAGGGGGTACAATTTCAGTTGTTTTGTGGAAGATTTGGAGTCCTCTCTTTTATCTGCTATTCATTAAAGTTAAGCATGAGCAAGAAGAACAGTTTCTCCAGCGATTCCTATTTTTGTTTCAGATCGCCAGCATCTGCACTTCTTTGCTTGTTTTTGTGTTTAAGTCACACTGCCACACCTCTTCCAGGTATGCCCACCTTAAAGAGCTTCTGCTCATCTTTGATAGGATTTTTGTTTCCTCTCCTAGTCAGCATAAATACCAGTTTCTCTGAGCTGCTAGCAGTTCTGGTGAAGAGTCTCCAAACTTGAAACATTAACTCTACTTTATTCCTACAGATCTTGCCAGGCCTGCTGAGTTTCACAAACAATTTCTGTTTTTGTTTCAAATCTCCAACATCCACAATTCTTTGTTCTATTTCCAGAAATCCTGATTTGTTTTCCCTCATGAGAAGTGGTCATTGTTGGTTGCACCAGCATTTATTGCCCATCTCTAGTTGCCCTTGAGAAGGTGGTAGTGAGCTGTCTTCTTGAACCATTTCAGTCCATGTGCTGTAGGAGGACACACAATGCTGTTAGGGAGGGAACTCCAGGATTTTGACCCAGCAACACTGAAGGAACAGTGATATATTTCCAAGTCAGGATTGTGCGCAGCTTGGAGGGGAACTTGAAGGTGGTGATGTTCCCATATACCTGCTACACTTGTCCTTCTAGATGGTAGTGATTGTGGGTTTGGAAGATATTGTCTAAGGATCTTTGGTGAATTTCTGCAAAGGCATTGTGTATAGTACATAAAACTGCCACAGAGTGTCAGTGATAGAGGGAGTGGATGTGATGCATTTAAGCATGCTTCTTTGTCCCTGGATGGTGTTGAACTTTTTGAATGGGAGCTGTGCCCATCCAGACAATAGGGGGTGGGGGGTGGGGGGGCTGGTGGGGAGTGTTGAGGGGGAATGTGTTTCCATCACATTCCTGACTTGTACCTTGATGGACAGGTTTTGGGGAGTCAGGAGCTGAGTTCCTAGCCTCTGACCTGCTCTGTGGTGAGGTCCACTTGAGTTTCTCGTCAATGATAACCCCAAGGATGCTAACATTGGAGGATTCGGTGATCGCAATGCCACTGATTGTCAAACAATGATACTTAGACTCTTTTGCAGGACATGGTTACTGCCTGGATATTGTGCAATTATTAGCTAACATCCCCACTTTGGACTCCTCCTTCTGATTCAAGGCTCCTCTGACAGCACCTTTCCAAACTGGAACCTGGACTACCCGAAATGACAGATGAGATTCAAGGGCAGCAGATGCTTGGGAACATAAAACACAAACACTGCCCGTCAAGTAACTCCCCATCCTGGATTGGAACGATAGCACCACTTCCTCCGTGTTGCTGGGTCAAACTCCTAGAATTCCTTCCTAACTGCACTGTGGGTGTACTTAAACCCTGAGGACTGCAGCAGTTCAATGAAAGCAGCTCAGCACTGTTTCTCCAGGGCAATTAGGGTTGGACAACAGATGCTGGCACGCCCTATCACACCACATCCCGTGGACAATTAATAAACTTCATATATTATTGACTGCTGATATCCGCCACAGTACAATGATCAATGGGCTCAACTGTACTAATATGTATGAGCAGGCAGAAAGGATTTAGCTGCCTGTGCAGAGAATGAGATATATACCCCTACAAATAACCTTGTAAAAGGATAAAGACGAGAATCAAGTTGGCTATCCTTCACTAACTGGCCATCAAGTTTAACATCTGCTTCCACCGACAGTGCACAGAGATAATCCTCCCTCACCATCAAGGTGACAAATGGAACTAGAGCCAAGAAACACAATCTCTTACCGAATGTCCAGCAAGCTGGCCGTTTTTATATCAATGTTGTCAATGAGAATCTGACCCTCATTCAACTCCACCATCCGGAAGAGCGCGAGAAACAAAGTCGATTTTCCTGAGCCTGTCCGTCCAACAATTCCCACTTTCTCACCCGCATTAATCTTCAGACTAATTCCATCGAGTGCATTAGGAAGCCCCTCCCGATATATAAGGACCACATTCTTAAACACTATCATACCATGCTGTGGCCAAGAGGAAGGAACCTAAAAGGATATAAACAGAACAGGTTACATAGTAGAGTACAGAGACAGTGTTCTACTGTAGATTACAAGACAGTTTTATATATGTGTTGTATGTAAAGGTGATTGCAGAAACAACTAAATGTTATCTGCATGACACAGACACAGCAATACTCATTAATACAGTACTTTGTATCATACGGACCAAGGCATTGGATTCCTTTATACAACTTACCTCAATTGGCTTAGTTCTTTTGGTCTTGTGCAGGATAATGGACAATAAGACATTGCCAGCAATCCCAGTCCATTGCAATCTCTTTAATTCCAGTTTGGGTGGGTCCAGTCTTGAAGGCTTTTCTTAAACATAATTTGCCAGGTTTCCTTTCACTAGCCAAGTCTTCCTTTCCTATCCAGTGGTGTCCATTCAGCTATATCAAGAGGTATGTCCAATAGGCAAAATACAAATTCAGCCAGTCTCAGTGAACTCTCTATCGCAATGTCCTGTTGATACCTTTGTCCTGCCGTGTGCAGCACTTGGTGATGTTGTCTCTTCAAGCGATGCCCAAGATCTTATCTAGGCACATCTGGTTGTAGATGCCCAATTTGGTTATATGTTTGTCATTCTCCTCCTTGTTTCACTGGCACAGCTTGCAGTTGGTACCATTATGGGCATGTAGGGTTGCAGCTTCATGATTGTGATGATGGTTTTTGATGCCTACAACTACTGGAGTCACAGAAAGAGTGATGCTGCTTGACTAATTCTTGTGTGCATGTTGATCAGTACATCATTCTCCCAGGAGATGGAGTTACCTTGGTAGCAGAATTGATTGATGGTGTTGGGAGTTGCCATCCAATCATCATTGTCTTAATCTTCGTACAGCTTACATGTCAACCAATCTTGACATTTCTACTCTCAATACAAATCTAGGAGCATACCTGACTCTTTGGCCAGCTAGGCAACACTGTGAAATCCAGCTCCATCAACTGGTTATGTTGCCACAGGATGCCAAAACCTGCTCCACCATCACCATCATTACGATGAAATGAATACCCAACAGGAAAAGGCGTGGGGAGAGTATACAGCCTTGGCTTACTCCTGTCAAGATGTTGAAGGAGTTCATGCTGCTTAATACTGGTCCTGACACAGCAGCTGCGGTCAAGGTAGAAAACTTCAAAACTGTAAATACACTGCATTGAAATGTCGAAAAGTCTTGTGATGTTCCAGGGTGACTGCTGTGGATATGACTAGGAGCCATCTTGAAATCAGTGAAGTTGATAACAAGTGGCTTCTGATAATTAAGGCCCTCATCTCCCTGCAGCATTGTAAAGTCATAGAAATCCCCAGCATAGAAAGAGACCCTTCAGCCCATTCTGTCTCCACTGGTCACAGAGTCATAGAAACAGACCCTTCAGTCCAATTTGTCTGCAGTGACAAGACATCCCAATCTGATCTAGTCCCATTTGCCAGCATTTGGCCCATATCCCTCTAAACCCTTCTTATTCATGTACCCATCATATGTCTTTTAAATGTTGTAATTGTACCAGTCTCCACCACCTCCTTTGGCAGCTCACTCCATACATGCACAACCCTCCACATGAAAAAGTTACTCCTCAGGTCTTTTTTAAATCTCTCCCATCTCACATTAAACATATAACTTCTAGTTTTGGACTGCCTTACAGAGGGAAAAAAGCCTTGGCTATTCACCCAATCCTTGCACCTCATGATTTTATAAACATCTATAAGGTCACCCCTCAGCCTCTAACGCTCCAGGGAACATAGTCCCAGGCCATTCAGTCTCTCCCTATAGCTCAAACCCTCCAGTCCTGGCAATATCCAATCTTTTCCACACCTTGTCAAGTTTAACACCATCCTTCCTATTGAAGGGTGACCAGAATTGTAGGCAATATTCCAAAAGTGGCTTCACCAACATCCTGTATGGCCTCAACATGACATCCCAACTCTTATACACACTGACCAACAAAGCCAAGCGTGCCAAACACCTCCTTCACCACCCTGTCTCTCTTGGACTCCACCTTCAAGAAAGTGTGCACCTGCGCCCCTCGGTCTCTTTGTTCAGCAACACTCCCCAGGGCTCTACCATGACCTATATAAGTCCTGCGCTGGTTTGCTTTACCAAAATGCAACACCTCATTGACCTAAATTAAACTCCATCTGCCACTCCCTCTTCAAAAAACTCAATCAAGTTAGTGAGCCACGAAAATCCATGCCTTTCCAAACGCATGTAGATCCTGTCCCTCGGAATCCCCTCAAACAACTTACCCATCACTGATGCAAGGCTCACGCGTCTATAGTTCCCTGGCTTTTCCTTACAACCTTTCTTAAATAATGGCACCATAGGAGCCAATCTCTAGTATCCCGACACCTCACCCATCGCTATTGATGATACAACTATCTCAGCAAGGAGCCCAGCAATCTCTTCCCTAACTTCCTACTAAGTTCTGGGAAATACTTGATCGGGTCCTAGAGGCTTATCTACCTTTATGCGTTTTAAGACTCCAGACCTCCTCTTCGGTAATATGAACTGTGCTCAAGACATCAATATTTATTTACCTAAGTTCATTTGCATCCAAGTCCTTCTCCACAATAAATACTGACGCAAAACATTTGTTTAGTATCTCACCCATTTCCTGTGGATCCACACGTAGACAGCCACGCTAATCTTTAACGGGTCCTCAAGTGATCATCCAAATATTTCTTAAATGTTGTGATGGTTCCCATCTCTATCACCCTTTTAGTAGTAAGTTATAATCATAGAATTCCTGCAGTGCAGAAAGAGGCTAAACGGCCCAACCAATCTGCACCAACTCTCCTCCAGACCCAGCCCCCACCCAATCTCCATAAGCTTGCATTTACTATGGCTAACCCTCCTAACCTGCACATCCCTGTACACCACGGGATAACTTAGCATGGCCAATCCACCTAACCTGCACATCTTTGGACTGTGGGAGGAAACCACAGCACCCAGCGGAAACCCACACGGACATGGGGAGCACATGCAAACTTCACACAGACAGTCGCCAAAGGCTGAAATCAAACGTGGGTCCCTGGCACTGTGAGGCAGCGATGCTAACCAATGTGCCATCCCTAAGTTCCATATACCCACCACCTTCTGGGTGAAAAAAATTCTTTACATCGCCTCTAAACCTCCTGCCTTTAGCTTATATCTATGGTCCATGGTTATTGATCTCTGTGCAAAGGGAAAGGGTTCCTTCATAGTCACCCTATGTCCCGCATAATTTAGTTCATTTCAATCGGATCTCCCTCTCAGTCTACTCTGCTCTTGGGAAAACAAACCCTGTTCACCTAGGCTCACTTCACAGCCGAATGGCTCCACCCCACGTAACATGCTGCTGAATCTCCTCTGCACCCTCTCCAGTGCAATCACATATTCCCTATAATGTGGTAAGCAGAACTGCAGACAGTACTCCAGCTGTGGCCTAACTAATACTTACCTGTCCTGCTGCCTTCAATGATCTATGGACATGTTAACCAAGGTCTCTCTGACCCTCTATACTTCCACTGATCCTATCATTCATCACTGACTGCCTTGCCTTGTTAGTCTTGCCAAAATGCATCAACGCACATTTTTTCAGGATTAAATTCCATTTGTCAGTTTCAGCCCATCTAAACCGCCCTGTTGTCTAAGACTTTCCACTTCGCTATTAAACACATCACCAAATTTTCATGTTATCTGTGTCTACATCAATAATGTGCACAATAAACAGCAAAGACTCTATCATTGAAACCTGAGGTACACCACTGGACACAGGCATCCAGGCACAAAAACCCGCTTCGACCATCCCCCTCTGCCTCCTGCCACTAATGTGGAGGTGCTGGTGTTGGACTGGGTGGAAAAGGTCAGAAGGTGCACAATACCAGGTTATAGACCAACAGGTTTACTTGAAATCACAAGCCCTCAGAGCGCTGTGCCTTCATTAGGTGAAGTGAAGGGAAACACACAGGCACAGAATTTATAAGTAGAGAAATCAAAAGATCATACAAATGGTGTGAGTGGATTGTCAACAGGCTGAATAATAAGTCTCTGCAGGTGATCAAGAGTGTAGATGGTGTGAATAAAGTGTCAACAGCTGAATAGCAAGTGTAGGGATGACCTATAATCTGATTGAACAAGGCAGAGAGATAATTACAAAAAATTAAAAATAAGGTGATGCTGGAGATAAATCAAATGGCTGCAATAACACGATAGGTATTACAGTCGCATGCTGAGAGTCTAACCATACTAACAAGTCATCCAAAACTGCACAAACTAATTAAGATAAAGATCATAATAAGTTATCAAGGTGATGGTGTTAAAACAGGACAGTAAGGAAGATTTTACAGATACAGAAGTGTGGTGGGGCTACATGTAGCATGATATGAGTCCAAGATCACAATTGAGGCCGTCTTCATGGGTACGGAACTTGGCTATCAGTTTCTGCTCGGCGATGCTGCGTTGTTGTGTATCTTGAAGGACGCTTACCCGAAGATCGGAGGCTGAATGTCCTTGATCACTGAATTGTTCCCCGACTGGGAGGGACCGTTCCTGCCCGGTAATTGTTGCACGGTGTCGATTCATCTGTTGGTGTAGTGTCTGCATGGTCTCGCCAATATACCATGCCTTGGGGCATCCTTGCCTGCAGCATATGAGATAGACAACATTGACCGAGTCACATGAGTATCTGCCGTGTACGTAGTGGGTGGTGTTCCCACGTGTGATGGTTGTATCCATGTCGATAATCTGACATGTCTTGCAGACGTTACCATGGAAGGGTTGTGTGGTGTTGTGATCAATGTTGTCCTGAAGGCCGGGTAGTTTGCTGCAAACAGTGGTCTGTTCAAGGTTTTGAAAGCAAGAAGTGGAGGCATGGGGAAGATCCTGGCAAGATGCTCATTGTCATTGATAATGTGTTGAAGGCTGCAAAGAACATGGGGTAGTTTATCTGTTCTGGGGAAGTACTGGACGACAAAGGGTACTCCATCGGTTGTGTCCTGTGTTTGTCTT